AAATTTCATTATACATTTTGACCAGAAGATGTCGCTGTTCCGATACTTTTTGTGTACTATCAGAGTATGGTCCCAATGACACATACAGAGTTTCGTAATGATATGTTAATGCATTTGTGAAATACAGCATTTTATGACAAAATTCAAAATGGCCAACGCCCAAAATGGCCAATATGGAAAAAAATTGGATATCATTTGACTCGGCATGCTGCACTGAACCAGAAGCGACCAGTTCAGAAGTTGCAAGCAAAAATAGCCATTTTTCATATCTCCTGACCAGTAGGTGACACTGTGCCAAAACACTGCATGTAGCCTCAGGTGAATCTTATGATGAAATGTACCAAGTTTGGTCAGAATACGTGAAAGCATTGCAGAGATAGAGCTAGATGATAGATAGATGCTCTTCATCAAATTTGATTGTGTGTTCTTCGAGAACAGTAGGGTTTATCAAAAGCTTTTAATAACTTTTAGCCAGCATGGTCTGAAGATGATCTGAGCCAATTTTGGTGAAAATCAGACAAACCGTCTAGGACAAGTAAAAAAAAACAATAATAACAACAATTCAAAATTGCAAAAAATCTGACTCAAAATTTAAATTTTAGTTTACCAAAAATGCTTGTCAGTACATTCAGAAGCACATAACAAAACGAATTATGAAATTACATATAATGTTGTACTTAAATCCCACTTAAGAGGGTAAAAAAACTCATATATATATATATATATATATATTTATATATATATACTCATATCCCCATATATATAAATAAAACCAAAAACTACCAAAAACACACAACAAAATTACTAAAACATTAACTAAAATTAAAATGGAAACAAAATATGAAAATAAAATTCATTAATAAAAACTACATAAAATTAAAATTGCATATAAGGTTAAACTATAATACATTTTATATATTAATAAATAACAAGCAATAGTATTTGAAAACATTACATTTAGTTTGCACTTATGTATATTTATTTAAACTATACTATTTCCATAACAAGTACTCTTTTTAAAAGTATACTAAAGTGTACTTCTTTTCACAAGGGTAGGCCTATGTATATTTATCAGATTTTACTAAATTTGTAGCACACATTTACTCTCTCCCCCCAACAGACTCAGACTCTCGTGTTAACTGGTGATATTCAACCCTATAGTGAGCATAGTGTGACAAAATCTAAAGCAGCTATGACAAATACAACAAGTATTGCATTCTGTGTCTTAAATCTAGAATGTCCACCTCTTCCACTATCCTCTGTGTTTTTCCAACAGTCAGAGTAATGAGCCCTTGTCTCGATCTGTTCCCAGCGTTCAGAGTCGCCTCCAGCTGTTTCCAATCAAAAATCAAAACGTAGGGAACAATTTCCATGTCACACAGTGGACGGCAGCTATAATTTCAAAGCACCTGCTCTGAACTGAAATACACAGGGATTTTATTTAGAATGATATCAGTCTCATAATTATCATCAGGGTCAATTAAAACAACATTGTCATGGGATTTATTTCACATTTTGATCACACTCACTGTGCCAATTAGCTGGAGGTAGTCATGCTTTTGGAGAAAAGAATACCATTGGACTGGACTGGAGGCTAAATTAAGGCCTGGTTAATTGTCAACTTTTAAATTGACTAGTATGTTCGGTTTAGACATGATAAGGAGGAAACAGTTACATTGACAATGTAGCTATGATTAAGCGTATGAAATTTTGATCCAGCCATTAGATGAGTCATGCAAGACTCTCTGACAGCATTCACACATTAGTTCAAATTCACTGCCGTCATTTGTTAAAGTTGGAGCGTGATGAAGCTGATGGATTCACAGAGTTTAGCAACATGAACACACATGAACTGTAACACCACCAGATGACGACATTTCTGAACATTTCCCAACACAACAGGAACAAATCCCCTATGGTGCTCTGTACATTTGCATCACACCAGCTCAACATACAAACCGGAGTATTCAGGTTCAGAAATTCCTGTCCCATAACCACCCTCTGCCCGGACACAGTCTTTCTGCTGGCTCGACATAGTGACAAAATCCTCCGATCACTTCCTCAGTGTGGCAGCCTAGTGAACATGCTAACTGAAAGTAACCCATAGAGCAATGTCAGCCCACCAAATACCTATCGCATGCAACAAATATGCACCTTTTGAAGAATGCTGTTTTCTTTACCGCTGTGAGTCCCTCTGTAATTAATTGCCACATTCCTGGTGAGGTACTACAACAAAACCCACAACCCTGAAGTGAGTTCCACCTGAACTAATTTGAGACATAGAAAAGGGAACCACAAGGCTAACATTACCAGTTAACATAAAAGCGGAAGAGCCAGTATTGGTATTTGCTGATAAGCAAATACATTAGGGAGACACAAAAAAAAAATCCAATCCGATTTGTTTTCATCATTATATGTGGATTGAGTAGTTCAATCTTCATAATTATCCTCATCATCATCATCATCATCATACACTTTCAGATTTGTAATGTTGCGATTCATCTCGGAGCTTGTTGGTTTGGTTAATGGCTTACAACTTGTTTCTTTTTTAATTTTCTAAAATGCCTAACATAGTAAAGGAATGGGGAAAATTCTCCCAGAATCAAGGCCACTTACAGTATGAAGTGAGCAGGCAATAGCAGTTTTAAACAATCAGTCTAAAATCACACTGACTTGTGGCTTCTGCAGGAGAATAAAGCATTGTTTATCAGTTTTGCAGGTTGTCGCGAGTTTATCTTGTTAACTAGCATTAGCATTGGTGTTGGTGAACCTGAGACAGCTTAAGTCAAGACCATCACTTAAGACCTAGACCAATAAAAGACCCAGACTAGACCCCTCAAGACCTAGATTCATGACATTTTGAATAATGTACCGATTGGTTTCCCATACCCTTGTGAAAAGAAGTATACTTTAGCATACTTTTAAAAAGAGTGTTTATTACAGAAATATACTGTTAAAGAATATATTAAATGAAACGAAAACGTAATATAGTTTATATTTGAAGGGGTCATATGATGCGATTTCATTTTTTCCTTTCTCTTTGGAGTGTTACAAGCTCTTGGTGCATAAAGAAGATCTGTAAAGTTGCAAAGACTAAAGTCTCAAATCCAAAGAGATATTCTTTATAAAAGTTAAGAGTTAGCCACACCTACCTAAAACGGCTCGTTCGAACACGCCCCCACATATCTACCACACTATGTGGGAAGATTTGCATAACACCGCCCAAATGTTCACGCAAAGAAAGAAGACGTAACTTTTATTCTCGCTGTAGTATTGTTGCCGCCGCCATGTCCAAAAAGGCGGGGCATAGAGGAGAAACAATAATGTACAGTATGTGGAAAATAATGTGTTTTTTTAACTTTAAACCGCATAAACACATTTCATTACACCAAATACACAAAATAATGTTCTTTTTAGCAGCATCATATGACCCCTTTAAATTAAATGCAATTAGTTATTAAATGCACTTAAGAGTTTTGACCCACTTAAGTATGTAGTTTCATAATTTATGCAATTGTGGTTAAAGTGAAATATGGTTAAAGTGTACTGTTGAATGTACTGGCAAATATTTATGGTAAAAAATTAAATTAAAAAAATGTACTGTCATCTCTATTTAAAATTGTATGTCATGTATTTAGATATATTTGCGATTGCACATTTTTTAATGATGAAGTTGCAATTTAAATATACTTAATATATATATATATTTTATATATATATTTATAACTATGTCTCCATAGTTACTAATTGTGTTCACCTATATCTAGTTTAGTTTCCAGTTCTGTCTTATGTATTTATACCCCCTGTTTAGTTCAGTTCTTTGTCTGTTATGATTAATGTTAAGCTGGTTTGTGTTCCTCCGGTGTTCTAGAGGGTTTTGCGTAATAAAAGACTGCTGCATTTAGATATTTGTCTTAAATGTATCCTTTACCTGCACCAACATGACGTACTTCTTTTAGCACAACAAAATATTAAAGCAGTGATTTGAAATGTACTTTTTATATGACCTTATTAGAAAGTGCACATTTTAAAATTACAAGTGTGTTAAGTAACAGTCATGAAAGGCTGCTCTCCTTGAGTACACTCAAGTGGCCTCATCTGCAATTTTTTTTAATATACTTTTTGAAATTTTGAAGTACACTGCAAGTGTAAATTCAATACAATGAATCACACTTTGAACCAATAGGGGCCGGATCTTTCAAGGTTGAAAAAGGAAAGCAAAAGCACAATAGAATCACAAACATATCACATGACTTCCAAGTCTTCTAAAGTCAGTCAATAGATCTGTGTGAGGAACAGTCTGGAATTAAAGCAGTCAAATAACTGTCCTTCTGTTCATTTTTGGGTTGAACTATTCCTGTAAATTGTAAGATAGAGACAAGGACACCAAGTAACGAGACCTAAACCAACACTAAGTTTATGTGATCTTGAAAGGTTTGGTGAAGATGCTCATAAACTCTCTTGACCATTGGGTCTGAGGGATTACATCTGCCTATAGTCCTTAATGGCATTAACTGATCACTGCTCTCAGCTGGTGCACGTGAGACTAAAGATCCTTTAAGCTGACCATACAGGTTCATGAGGCAGAAAAAAAACTCCCTGTTTTTAAGTCCTTCCATTTGCTTTTCCATAACATGTTGATTCTAATGCATACAATAATGTTGCACTCCACATGAAGACTGCACACTTGTACCTTCTCAAAGTGATATAAACTAGTACAGTGGAGATTGAACATGGAAAACATGCCTTGAAAATGCTGCTTATTGGCTCAGGTAAAAAGAGGCCAACTCCAAGTCTGTATGATATTCTCAAGTACCTCCATCAGTGCAAGTCAGTGGGATTTTTTTGGTCTGACAGACAAAATTAAGTCTGGTTGCTTAAAGTAACACCACAATGCTGAGCAGCAGTGATTATGATAACAATGGTTCTGTTAACCAGAGAATCAATAGAGAACATACTGGTTATGATTACAATGCTATAACAGATTAGACAGCTCTTACCTGAAAGACTCCTTGGTAACGTTGGACATAAGAAAGCTTGGAAACTAGTCACACACAATTCACTAACACTCCCCATGTCCTCAGAATGAAGGTTTTTCTGCTTTGTGTTTGCAGCTTTTCTCCCTTCCCCAATTTCAGCGTGTGGGTCAAGCTACACACACCCAAACCAGCCTGCCTGTCATGTCTCAGTATCTCACAGCGTTCGCTCTGTAGTCCACAGGACTCGTCCTCTTCCTCTTTAAGTCGTCATGTTTGTGTGTGCGTTTGTGCCTTGCTTGACAATCTCAACTTCTCTGTGACACGTTCAGTACTTCACAATGCAATTTGCGTGTTTGTTTCCTCTTTCTGAGCTTGCCGTAAACGCTGCAATGCAATTCTCTTCCCCTCTCACTGCTAATAATCTCGCTCCGCTTCTGTGCTCTCCTAATCTGCCTCTTTCAGTCACACACTTGCGCTCTGAAGTCTGCACACACAAACACAAAAGAAAACAAGAGGATAAACACCACTGTAAAAATGTGTCGGTTATGTTAAAAGATGTAGATTTTTTAAATCAAGATTTTTTTGAAAAGCTTTTGAACATTTGTCTGCGAGAACTATTTTTCCCCTTTTATTTCTTAAAGCAATGCACATAAACATGCACTGAAATGTAACTATGTAACAAAAGAAACATAGAAAGAAACAGTGTTTTCTTTTCATGTCAATGGCCTCAATGACTAGCTGTGAATCCCCTCAGCGGTCACTAGGGCTGTCAAAACTAAATTCGAATTTTCCACTTAAATATGATCAAATTATATTCGAATTTAAAAGGCATAATTTCAATTAGGGGGGGAAAAGCTTTTGCCTTCTCTCCTGAGGCCACAAGAGGGCGCATCGAGCGAAATATTATGCACATTTCTTCAAAGCGTAATAAAATAACACGACTATCTTTGAAAAAAAGTGCATAATGTTTAAAATAATGTTTATAAACCATATATAATTAATAAAGTTGCTTAAACAATTAGAAGAAAAAAAATAGCACCATGCATGTATGTATAGCTTAATACAAAAGACCGAAAACCAATCACAAAGAGTAGGCTACTTTCTTCATTTAAAAACATGAGATACAGTGGGATGGGGAAAACCGCCATAAAGTCTTGAGACATGTGTTTTTGCATTCAAATGTGGATTTTTGTTAATTATTCGACGAATATTCGAAATTCGATTTAAAAAATAATAAAAATTTGACAGCCCTAGCGGTCACATATCTATACATTACATACCTCAGCCAATTACCTTTCAGCATGCCAGCTGTCTTTCATTTTTGCATTCAAATGTGGATTTTTGTTAATTATTCGACGAATATTCGAAATTCGATAAAAAAAAAAAAAAAATTTGACAGCCCTAGCGGTCACATATCTATACATTACATACCTCAGCCAATTACCTTTCAGCATGCCAGCTGTCTTTCTGTCAGTCACAGTCAACAAGAGAGTGAAAATCACGAGTACAGAGAGCATGAGAGAAACGCCGGGGGACGAACGTCTCATGCATGAGCTGCAAAGTAAGGGAATAAAAATGCTGCAGCTGCACGTCAAACGCGTCATAGGACAGCAGAGCCCTTTCTGTCAACTCAGCATCTCTCCTCACTTCTGACTGTTCACTTCCCTTTGAGCTGCCATTTATTCTGCAGCTGTGAAGAAAAATCAAGCAAGAGAACAGTCAGAAACGGCACCCTCTGAAAGTCTGAAGAAGCTCTTTAGAGGTCAAACAAGGTTTCCACATCTGACCAATGAACTATCATGAATTTCTGCCAGTCATTTATTATTATTGATATATTTATTTGTCACCAAGACAATGGTATTTAGCTGTTTTTCCTTGTGTTTTAGTGACATAGAGTGCATGCTATTTTGTTACTTTCACCCGTCACACAAATGTAAAGACGTGTTGTTATTTTGTTTTTCCCATTATGGAATATTTCACATATGTGTGATATGAAGTAGTTGGTTAAATGACTTCAGCAGCTGGTTTGTCAGGTTTTTTTTTCCCTCTCGAATCGCTCGTGTTACTTAGGTGAGCAAAGGTCAGACTATCACTCAATTCAACTAAATCTATGATGAACTTCCCAGCAAAGTCCATTTTTACAACTAGGCTATTTGCAAAATCCTTTTTAAAAACTCTGTGCAATATATGTGTATATCTGTGCAAATATACTTTTAGGTTCTTAAAAGGTACTATTTATTGGACTACAATATTATATGCAATATAATATTTGAGTTTGAATAGAGTTAAAGAATACAGAGCTCTCAATACCTCTAAAATACATGCACCACACATATATATCCTATCTCAGGTCATCTCAAAGTCATGGCTATATCATAACATAAATATCGATGCGTTAAGTTTTTCCCCCCTTCCTTTTGGTGTTCTGAAAATGCTGATGAAATGCAACACAGGGGATTTAAATTATGCTACAATGTCGCCCCTCAAAGGCCATCATGTGGAATGTTTTTTCTTTACAAACATTTCTCCACAGCTCAATTTCATGTTGAAGTCTTTTCTTAGGGATGCAATGCTGATATAGCAGAACTTTGATTTTAGTAACTTCTTATTTAAATCAGGGGTCTTCAACCAGGCTCTTGAGACCTGAATTTAGCTCAAGGTGCTTAAGATCACTAGAAAAATGACAGGCAAATTACAGCATGTTAGAGCAGGTAAGAACTAAATTTTGCAGGACAGTGGGTCTCAGGAGCAATGGCCAAGTCTGGAGATGATATATAAAACCCAAAACCCTTTTCATTAGCAGAGCAAAGACAGTAGGGCTATAAGGAAAACATGTTTTAGATTAGATTTTTTTTCTGGTCCCAAAATATATGCTGATAAAATAAAATAAAATTAAATAAAAAATTAAATAAAATAAAATAAAATAAAATAAAATAAAATAAATAAAAAAGGAGAAAAATACTGTGTGGAAAAAAAAAGTAAAGGACATTTGTTTTGATCAAAAATCATGCAAATCATTTTGAAAATGAAAATACCTTCAAATCTATTATCTCATCTTCCTCCTTTGTCAACCTAACAATGTTTTGGTGGCATTTAGTGTTTTGGGCCCCTTCAATGATTATAATGATATATTATAACATGCTTATGAGTTATACTGAAAAATGAAAGTAAAGAAGTCTTAGAGAAGTCTCAGTTTTCTACTTCATTAAATTAATTTAAATTATTTGGCATCAAATTCAGGAACTGTATTGGCATTTCAACAGCATTCTGAATTTATGGCACATAAACTGGTAGGAAAAATAGCAGTTAGCAGATTCTTTCTCTCCAAAGGAAGAACTGTGCTATGCAGTGCTAAAGCACCTCCTACGCAGCCTCCTGTCCTCCTCACCCGCAGATCTGTCAACACAGAGAGAACAGCTCAAACTGCACACAATCTCACATTAATCAAATCATACTTGTTTTTTCACTTTCATAATTTTCAGAAATAAGCAGTAAGGTATGTTTTGAAGCATGGCAGCTGGTTTGAGCTGGTTTAAGCTGGTCATGTACTGGTCCTAAGCAACTAGCTCCTGCTCAGGACCAACTTAAACCAGCTCATGACCAACTAGCTTAAACCAGCTGCCATGCTTCAATATACATATGCTGTTTTTTTTTTTCAACAGAGAATGTATTTCTGGGGTGCAGGGTGTCTAATGCCTGATCTCATCTGATGTAAGTTCAAAAACATCAATGCACAGACACAGAATGTAGAGCAACATGAAGGTGAGTAAATGGGCAATGTTCATTTGTTATGGAAATGTTTGTTTCAGTTGGTATTGTAAGCATCTGAAGTGTCTGACAGCATGAAACTCTAAATGCAGGCTGTTAAATGTGGCGTGGAGTCTTTGCGCAGGTGTTTGTGAGTTTACGGGGTGTCGTGTTGAACTAGAGTGCTGTTCGTGGGATGAAGAGAGCTCTTGGGCGGCCAGAGCTTCACGCTTTCGGCCCACAGCAGTTCAAAAATCGACGAAAACAGCTCATAAACTCTCCCTCATGCTAGTTTAGATGTTACATCATCTCACATCAGAGCTGGATCTGAAGCTCAAACATCTTTCAGCAGGCTGAGTTTCCTGGTCTTAAAGGGATAGTTCACCCAAAAATGAAAATTTGATGTTTATCTGCTTACCCCCAGGGCATCCAAGATGTAGGTGACTTTGTTTCTTCAGTAGAACACAAACGAAGATTTTTAACACAAACCGTTGCAGTCTGTCAGTCATATAATGGAGGTGAATGGGAATCACGGCTTTGAGAGTCAAAAAAACATACACAAACAAAACCAAATTAAACCCTGCGGCTCGTGACGATACATTGATGTGTAAAGACACAAAACGATCGGTCTGTGCAAGAAACTGAACAGTATTTATATCATTTTTTACCTCTGATTTACTGCAATGTCCGAACTGTACTGAGCGTGTTCTCAACAGCCAGACTGTGATGCGTCTTCTTCTTCTTGCTTTACGGCAGATCGCAGACTTATAAGTGCATTACCGCCACCTATCTCTCAAATGGACCATTGACACTCTATCTACAATCTCAATTAGGAGTGTCAACAGTTCGGACATTGCGTGAATCAGAGGTAAAAAACGATATAAATACGGTTCAGTTTCTTGCACAGACCGATCATCTCGTGTCTTTACACATCAGTGTATCGTCACGAGCCGCAGGGTTTAATTTGGTTTTGTTTGTGTATGTTTTTTTGACTCTCAAAGCCGTGATTCCCATTCACTTCCATTATATGACTGACAGACTGCAACGGTTTGAGTTAAAAATCTTCGTTTGTGTTTGAGACTTTAGTCTTTGCAACTTTACAGATCTTCTTTATGCACCAAGAGCTTGTAACACTTCAAAGAGAAAGGAAAACTTGAAATCGCATCATATGACCCCTTTAAAGCCTGTGCATTCAAGAGAAGAGCTGATCCACAGTCAGTGTCAACACTGCGAGATGATCTGAGATCTAGTATTGAGTTACAACACTGACCTCAAACATACGTACAGAACCTGCCTAACATCAGTTCTGCAAAATGACACCCGATCAGACAAAACACACTGGGTCAGTGACGTGTTATGATGATATAATCATCTATTCCTCACGAGTTTGCTTCAGACTTTTACTCACTTTTCACCAGTAACCTTAAACTAATTAATCTCAACAAACAGGCCCATATTAGTTTTGTGGTTCACAACAGGTTTGAAGTTCTGACTGTTTATGAAATGGCACACAATTATGACTCCTGAATAACGTTTGTATGCCAAGCAATAAATGAAGGTCACAAAATGCTCAGCAACATATGAAGTACATTTAGGTCTAGCAAGTTCAGGTCATACAAAAGATGATACTACTGAAGGTACTGGACAAAACTTTATATTAATAGACAACACTCTCAGTTAATGACTGCTTGGGCTTTGCTTACTAGTCTCCTTCAGCGTA